GCAACCTCAGAAAGAACAGAACTCTGATGCACATTCCAATGTGGATGAACCCTGCAGACAGTATGCTAAGTGAAATCAGCCAGACACAAAGGGGCAGACACTGGATCAGGTATCCGGAGTAGCGAGATTCGCACAGCAGAACAAAGGTTACCCGAGGCAGGAGGGAGGCCGGAAGCAGGAAGTGGGAGGGGTTCAAAGGGTGCAGAGACTCGGAATGGGAAGGAGACGCATAGGAGATACATGGTGGCGACGGCGACACGGCAGTGAGGAGGCGCTCACCATCATTGGGTTGTACGCCCAAAAGGATTAAAATGATACACTTTAGGTTCTGTGTATTTTGCTGCAGAAATTTAAAAAAATGCATAGGTGTGCTAGAACCCCACTTGTATGCACATGAGAAACGCTCACCAGCCTTACCCTCTTCGGACCTCCAGACCTCCCCCTGCCGGGTCTCGTCAGGTCACCGCCCCATCTCGGTCCCGCCCGGGGGCTGTGTGATGAGGGGCCCCACAGCACCCAGGAGACTGACGAAACGCGTCCCTCACACCGCAGTGCGGTGCGGTCTGCAGCTGCAGAAGGTTCCAGCTAGCCTCCCTCTAAAGATAAAAGAAAACCCAACATTTGTAAGGTCTTTCTAATCTTTTGTTGTTTCAAGCGAATGCTTCTTCAGAAGGACGATTTCGGTATTCCTGGGCTATATTAAGAAGAACATGGTGAATGTTACAGACCCAGCCAAGTTAAAAAGAGAGAAAAGAAAATATTGCCGACTTGCAGAAATCCCAGCTACCCGTGTATACCAAAGAAGTCCTGTCTTCATCCCGTAATAAATGCAAACTCGGAAAGGCTCGTGGGCCTCCTCCGCTAATGACAGCCTCAATTACGGGGCCTGATCCTGCATTCCTGACACTCCCCTCATCCCTGCAGAACTTCCTGGGGAGTCAGAGGGCCTCTGCCCCGGCCTGGGCGGAGAGTTAGTTCCGCAGGAGCAGCGCCTGGGGCGTGCTGGCAAATTTAAGGGTCTGTTCATATAACCACATGCGCTTGGACGCCTTAAATCCTCACACTTTGACTCTTCACCTTATAATGAAATAAAAAGCCACAGTTACTCCATTAAAAAATGTAAAATTCCTCCACAGGAAATGACTACTAGTTTGCTTCTAATTTGTGTTGGTTTTAGGTTTTTCCTTCGCCACCCCCTTTTTACTTTTCCTATTAGTGTCCAATTCTATAGAAAATATTTTCTATTAGGGGAAAAAAAGAAACACACACATCATGCTGAGCCTTTGCATTTTATTTACTAAAATGGGAAAAACATCTTTGATTTGCTGCCTCTCACTCCGCGGTAAATCAGTGGGAATTTCTCGCAAATTCACCCATAGGCTGTTCTCTCTAAGCCACCCTAGGAGGACGCCTAATGACCTCTAGCTTATTGAGCAGTGGCCTTGTTTTATATAAACTAATCATCCAGCCAGCTATATTAATAACGAGGCCATAACTCATTTTCATCCTAGGCATACACTGTGCATTATCAGTCTCCTAATTAATCCCAGGCATTCCGGGGGCAGGTAGGTATTATTAGTTCTAATTTTCTTCACTGTTCCTCCAGCCAGAGACTGGGCAAACAGAAGGTCACGTTCCGCCCGTCTGTCCATCCCCTGAGCCTGCTCCGGTGGTCGCACCTCCCCCTGGCCTGGGAAGCCCGGGAACCAGCACACCTCTCCCGCTCCCCAGGCAGCAGTGCCTCCTCCGGGAGAAAGAACCTGGGGTCAGCAGACATCCGGCAGCTGAGTAACGGATAGAGTCAACAGCAGCCCCTCCAGAGGCAGAAAGCAAACTCCAAGCCTTGGTACACTGAGTGTGGCCGGCCTTTGTTAGGGCAGCAGAACTTTCGCCTCTGAGCCCCGGCTCCTTCCTTTGTCTCCTGGGGTGCAGGGAGGTGGCTCTGGGACCCCACCAGGCTGCTGGCTATTCTAAGTTCAAGTCTTGGGTTCAGTGCACACACACACACACACACACACACACACACACACACACACACACACACACACATGTGCGAGCAATCTCAGGGCCTTTGACAATATAGTCTCCAAAGTAAGAGACTTGGGTTTACTAACAAAGGGGCTCCTTTTCCTCCTCTTGCTGCCCTGGTTCTTGAAATTTGGCAAGGCAAGTGTCAGCTATAAGCATGACTTCCTACAACCCCCTTCAAAAGAGAGCAGAGTTCCCTGAGTAGTGGCACCCTGGAGCACTGGCCCCTCCATCCCTGTGGCACAGGAAGGAATACACAGCTGAGCACCAGGAGAATTGGGTTCAACTCTCACCTGGCAATTAACCGGGTGGGTAATATAACCTTCCCACGCCCAATGTGCCTGCTGGCTCTGGGTCTCACTAGGGTTCTATGCCTCACCCCACCAGCTCGTTCTGTGTTTTTAGCTACCTGCCAGATGTTGAGAAATAGGAACAGGAAGAGCAGCTGCTCTTAGGAAAAGCCTGGCATTTTGTACCCCCCAGTGGGGTTCCTGGGCCTTGGGTGGGGCAATTGTAAAACACAGTTTATTCCCAAGTCCCCCTTGCAAATCACGCCTTCCACTGGACTCCTCCTGAGGCCGCACTTCGCTGAGTCTCTCCTCCTTCCCTGCTCTCCCCTCCAGCCCCCTAGTCCCCTACCAGGTTCCCCTGGGAACACAACATCGCTTAGCATCACGTACACGACCCCTTTGTTTAAGTGTTTCCAGAGACTTCCACCAGAAGTAGCACTTGAGGTTGCAGCCACACTTCTCCCAGCTCCGGACCCATGTATTTAATTGCTCCTTGATAATACTTGTATTTCTCCAAGCCAGTCCCGAGGTCTGCATGCCCACAGCAGGACTCGGGCTCCTCCCACTGTCCCAGTGCTGTCCAGTGTTCCCAGCTCAGCGAAATCCACTCACTCTCCACTCGCATTCAGCTCCCCAGGAAGAAAGCCAGGATTCTCTCAGCCTGCTTCTCCCTGCACTCCTCACCACACACATACACCGTCTTGCCCCTGACAGCTTCCAAGCCTTGTTAAAACTCCTATGATTCTGTCTTCTAAGCAGCCCTAAACTCTGTGAAACTCCCTCATTGCCTTCTGTCACCCCTCTGTCCAAGCCACCACCCTCTTTTCAGGGTGCTCTAAGTGGTTTATTTACCTCTCTTCCAGTTTCTAACATTGGAGATTGTTCCGCACACCAGTCAAATCCCATCATTCCCTGCACAGATCTCCGCTGTGGATCTTCAGTGACCCCCAGAGAAGCGCAGAGCCCCTCAGTGTATCCCTCGCCTCTCTCCAGCCTCAGGCGTGTGCCTCCTTGTGTCCTCCTTTGGAGCTACATTTCCTCCCTCCTCACCTTGGGCACTCTTACTGGGCCTTCTCCTCAGCTCCAGCATTGCTTGCTCGGATCTCCTTGCCTAGGAAAATTCCGTTTCAGCCTTTGGAACACTGAGCTCTTCTCCTTCTAAGACCTGTGTGGAAATGGCTTTCAGGGAAGTGATTGCCTCCGAGCGTATCTGTGGTGTTGCATGACCCAGCCACTCCAGTTCTGGTCCACGTGGCCAGAAGCTGTGCCTGTTACCCCAGTAGCACATGGCAGGCACACAGTGAATGCCATCACGATGAAGCTAAGAGACTTAGAAACTCCAGAACCAAGTGGGAAGGCTTTGGGAGGCGTGTCTCCTCAGTACCGGCAGGAGCCCTGTGCCTCCATCCCTGGGATCTCACTGCTGCTGCTGTGCCTGGGGTTGGCAGGACCTGGGAAATCCTAGGATTCTGCTGAAGATAGGGAGCCAGCTTCTCCTGAGAGAGGAACACATGAGACACCTTAGGTGTCTGTTTAAAACATCAAACTGGCCTATCCTTGCTTTCAAAAGGAACGGGAGTCTGCTGCAGGCCTGGACAGCTTAGTGAGATCCCACATCAAAATTTAAACACTTTTAACAAGCACTGAAGATGGAGGTCAGTAGTAGAGGGCTTGCCTAGCAGGGCTTCAACTCTCAGAGACACAAAAGGAGGGGAGGAGGAAGAGGAGAAGGAAAAAGGGGACAAAACAAATGCCTCTTTAAATCCTTTAAATCGCTGGACCATTTGGTGTCTCAGTTATGAGGGGGAAGGGGCGGCTGTGAAGTAGGAAGTGTGTGTAGTAGCCAAGCTCTCCTTTTATTAGTACAGCACCTCCGTGAGGTAAGTACGGCTAACCTCATGTGACAGACGAGGAGAAGGAGGAACAAGTATCTCGTCTAGCGTGATACAGCTTGTATGTAGTGAGCTAGGCCTTTAATCCAGGCCTGCCTGACCAAAGAGCCCAATTTCTTGCTTGGTGCAATTCCATTTAAGGTCCCGCTTGCTCTTCCTGACAAATATCTGAAGGTTCATTTCCTGGAAAAAATGTACATCTGTGAATGCCTAATATTCCCAAATGAACTATAATTGCTTCTGCTTTATTTCTTCATGAAAACCACCATACAGTTTTTCTCTTGATCTAGGAGATTTTGTATTTTGAAATAGTGTGATTCAGAGTAAGGATCATAAGGACAAAGACCAGAGAGCATTTATTTTGCTTATGCTCTGAAACCGGTAGGTGCTCAATAAGAATTTGTGAGAGGAAATGTGATCTCTGTACTGTTTATGCTAAGACACTGCTCCGTTAGAAGTTTCGGTTTCCACTTACTTTCCTCTCTCAGCGTTCCAGTTGTTTTCAAAATCAATAACTTGTCTTATAAAAATGAAGTACATACTTGGAGGCATAATAGAGGAGCTTCACTTTACTTTATCAGAGTTTGGGAATGGAAAGGAGTACATTTCAGACGGGTTGATGCTTTTGACCAGAGAAGCAAATCCACACACCTTTGCTTTTCACTCCACCTGCCCCACAGAACCCACGCCACCTGAGGTAGGAGCTCATCGGAAGCCGACTCTGCATGAGCCTCGTGGCCCCCCATGGCAAGGACCACGGCCTCAGATCCCCTGTGACCAGGGCACCCACCTCTGAAGGAAAGAGACTGCTCGGTGGCTCCGTGTCTGTGCAAATGTGGCTTGCTTTGTCCTTACTCCACCAGCACGGCCTTGCTGAAGTCTGCAGACTGGGCAGTTCCTTCTGGGCCTGGAACAGAAAACCAAACTCAGCTCTGGGAAAGGCTCTTGACAACCCCGCTCAGGGCTGGCATTTCAACAATGCTGCATGTCTTATACTGTGCTTTTTACATTAACTTCGGGACTGAAGCCCGCTGTTCTCTTTCCACAGCATACTGGCCCCAGACCTTCCTCCTCCTGGTTCAGATCCTCACCACTGACACGAACTTGCCTTTGTACAGCTGTGCATTTTTTCCAACGCAATCATCACTCTCTGAAGTGATTTAATTCATTCTGTTTGCTATCTCCCTGCCCTCACTAGAATGTCAGCCCTACAAGGGCAGGAACCAGTCTTTATTACTGTCTCCTGGGGCCTAAAACAGTGCCTGGCACATTAAAAACACTGCAGTGGTGAGTGAGTAAATGACTTCTTTTGAATGTCTCAGTTCTATAAGGGCCTCACGTTTCAGAAATGAAGCCCTGTCCCGTCTTGTGATGGTAAGCCACTAGCTGGAAGCCACATGGCCAGTTTGTGGCAGTCTCACAACTCGAGCCCAGGTTTTCTGCCCCCTGGTCTGGAGTCTTCCTGGAGAAAGGAAAGTGAACTCCTCCCCAAAGCTCGGTTAAGCTGGGTACTCTTGAGAACAAGCACCCTGTCAAGGATCACTAAATGCCAACCCTTTGGGGCGTACAGTCTTACAGAACTCGGAATCCTTTCCCTATATCAGACCCCAAAACTCACCTACAGGATGCATTTAAAGCCTAGCCGGAGACTGCTTCCTGCATCAGCTCCTCTGGGCCGCCGCTCCTCTGCTCTGCAAGTTAGGACCCGCTCGTCCCTCCCTTCCCCCGGCTTCAGGCCTTGCTGGCCCCTGGGTCCCTCCTGCCAGGAGGCTCTGGCCTGGCTCTGGACTTCGGCAGTTCCTCTGACATCCTAATTTCTTGATCACCTGTGCTGGCACGCTCCTGATTTCCTTCAATATGTCTTCTTTTCACTCCTGGGAAATTTATGTCTGCTCTGGCATATGTCCCCATCTTCCTTTGTGAAAAGAGAGGCAAGGAGCGGGGGAAAGCCTTTTAATATTTTTTTAGCTATGTCTTCATGTTCTGTCAATAAATTACCTCTGCCAGCTTTTAGAGGCCCCATTGGCCCTTTTCCTGACCTCTTGTTCCTTCTGTACTAGAAAAATGCCTTATTATTTATCTTAGCTGTGCTCACAATCTTCTTTTCATCCCTCACCTTTGCTTTCCTTATCATGTTTTTGCACTTTCCTAACTTTGTACTATAATTTCTCTAGCTGAATCACTTTCTTTTTTTTTTCATACTTTCTCGCTTTCCTAGTTTTGATTATTTCTCCTACCACTGCCACATCCCTTTTAAAGCTATTTGTTTGGCCTATTTTCTACACCTTGTGAATGTGTTGCTGGGTAGCACGTATTTTCTTTGGGCATTTTTGTTCACTTCTCTCTGATTATGTCCTTCCATCAGTGGCTGTTCTTTCCCATCTCTAAGTGCCCCTGGATTTTCTTGGTGGGGCTACTTTTGTTACCCTAGGTGATGAACATCTCTCACATGTACTTCTAAGAGGGTCCTGATGCCTGCTGAGCCTCACTGGGATGTACATTAGTTTGCTAGGATTGCCACAGCAAAAAATGCCATGGACGGGCGGCCTGAAGAACAGAAATCCACCGTCTCACAGTCTGGACATTGACAGGCCTAGATCAGTGCACATGGGATTAGTTTCCTCTGGGACCCTCCTCCCTGACTTGTAGATGGCCATGCTCTTGCCGCTTTTTCAGTCTTTCTCTGTGTGAGTGCATCCCTCCTGTTTCTCATAAGGACACCAATCACATTGGATTAATGTCCACCCCTAGAAGTCTCATTTTTAATTTAATTGCATCTTTAAAGGCCCTATTCCCAAAGAACAGTAACTATATCAATTGTTTTCTGTTGCTTGGACAAAATACATGACATACACAAAGTAAAGTGTGAAGAATTTAAGGCTGGGGATTTAGCTCAGTGGTGCCACCACCTGCCTCACAAGCACAAGGACCCGAGTTCAATACCCCGTACAAAAAAAAAAAAAAGAATGAAGAATTTATTTTGGTTCATGGATTCTGAAGGTTAAGTTCACGGATGATGGGTTCCAAGGCAGAAGCATCATGGTGGGAGGGCATGGCAAACGAAAATTGCTCACCTCATGGCATCCAGGAAGGAGAGAGATAAAAAAAAAAAAGAGAATGAAGAATTTATTTTGGTTCATGGATTCTGAAGGTTAAGTTCACGGATGATGGGTTCCAAGGCAGAAGCATCATGGTGGGAGGGCATGGCAAACGAAAATTGCTCACCTCATGGCATCCAGGAAGGAGAGAGAGAGAGAGAGAGAGCAAGATCTCCCCTTCAAAGGCATACCCTCAGTGACCCACTGCCTTCGACTGGGCCCCACTGCCTAGTAGCCCATTCAAGCCTGCATACTTAAACTATGACAGTAACATTCTCGGGTACAAAGAGTTAGAGTTGAAACATATTAATTTGGCAAGAATGGAAGGAAGATGGGACACAATTCAGCCCATAACAGGATGAGCGGTAAACCCCGACCCTGGACCACAGACCAAGAGGGAGCCAGGTGCCCCAGTTTACTTGTCCCCAAGACCCCCCCAAGTCAGGCTGCCTGTGGGTAGAAGTTGGGTCATTGGCAGTCCTGAAGCCTGCACAGTATTCTGAGGTAGTTCAGTGAATCCCAAGGGTAACTCCTACGTGCCCACTAGTAAAACCAGTCAAGTATAAAGGGTGTCCTGCTGGGCTGTTTAGCCGACGTCTATCTTCTGGACGCCTCTGCACGCACTGAGCAGGTTGCCAAGGCAGGCTCTGCAGCCCCCTTTCTTGGGTATTATCAGAGAATGGATCCTCTACCCAGCTGCTGCAGACACCTGCCCCACCATGGCCCAGACTGAAGCTCTCACTATCTAAAAGCTACCGTGGAATGCCACGTTATGCCATGGCCTTGGTGCCATGGTAGTGCTGCCTTGTGCCATGATGCTTTACAGAGCTTTCAGTGAGGCAGAGTGTGTCCCTCTGACTCCATGATCCCCTTCACGAGTTCTCCCGCAGGAGTCTCTGTGGCTTGGGCCAGGTATACTCAGGTGTTCTTTGCTACTGAAGGAACATACCTCTGCCTATCCCATCTTCCCTTCTGCAGGGGCTCCTGAACAGCGCCTGCAAACAAGCTTCAAATGAACACACCTAAGCACGTTTACCTACTTGAGAGCAAATGTTTCTGCCCCACCCCACTCCCAGGAAACCCCATCAAATTCAATAGTGAAGTGATGGTTACTAAGATCGTGTGGGCAGAGACCTCATGAATGGGATTAGTGACTTTGTGAAGAGACTAGAGAGCTTGCCTGTTCTCCGTGTGCTCGCCTGCATGAGAGGATTAAATGACAAGACGGTCATTGGCAAACCAGGAAGTGGGCCCCCCAACACAGGCTCTGCCAGGACCTTGATTCCTCCAAAATCTGAGAAAAAAGTTTTTGTGGTCCAAGCCATCCGGCTGGCGCCTGCCCAAACTAAGACACTATACCATAATGATCTCAGTTTAGAATCCCCATGGCTACATAGAGATTTTGGACACAGGGAGGGCCCGGTTCTGACCCTGGTAGAACCTCTAGTCTCGGTTGTCAACTCAACAGCTCCCTGAGTGTATCTCTTTTCTGCCGTAGGAAGCTGAGGAAACTATGGGGAATGGAGGGGACAGCAGACTCAGCAATGTTTTGTTATTTTCTAGAACCGCAATGATAAATACGATGCAGAATGATTTTATAGTAGTTACCCTTATTTTAGGACTTAAATTCTGACGAAAGATCCACATGAAGACGTATTTTGTAATTGTGGTATTTCTGCTGATTCACTCTGTTTCAATGCTCCTCCTGGATGTGGCAAATTGCTGCTCAGACTCCTTTGTCCCCCTGCTGTGACCCTGCAGGACCCTGCACCATCGGTGTGTTGTGGTGGACTTTAGCTGCTCTACACACTTCCCTCTCCAGACCACGGGGTCCTCCAAGGCGGATCCCTGGCACCCAAAGTGCACTCGCGAACATGAGCTGGCTGGGTGGCTCCGTGGGGCTGTGGAAGCGGCCTGCCAGCTGGCACACCACGCTGTCTCCCGCTCAATCTTCCCGCCACTTGAGGGGCTCCGGGTTTGTGCTGACTGTGAAACTCACACTTTTCTTCTCAATCCTGTCTTTTCCCAGTCCTCCTGGTGTCCGGATCGCCTGCCTGCTGGGTTTCCCTGCTTCGTGCAAACTTCACTACCTTCGGATCAGTGACAATTCCAAGGCGATCCCCCCCGGGGCAGGGCACGTGCTATTTCCTGGGGTTCTAGAATTCTTTGCTGAGTTTTGACTCCTCTTAATGGCTCCGCGTGGCTGCCCGGGGTCTGGGCTACCTGTGTGTCTGCTCACGGCAGCAGCCCCACCCGATCCAGCCATCTGTTTGTCTTGGCTGCATCTCCTTCTTTATGTTCCCTCTTCTCGGGGGGAGAGAGAGGCAGCTACTCCCTTCAGTCAGCAAGAAGCCCTCGCTACCTTGTCCACTGCAGAAAAACTGTCTCTGCATCTGCAGCAGCTTTTGTGTGGGGGACAGAACATCAGAGCTCATTTGCTCAGGAGAAACAATAAAAACAAAAACAACCTTCTTTCTGCTTTTCCTTTATGGATTGCAGTGTCCCTACACTAACCCTCCAGGCTTTCCTGCCAACCGCTGGTGCTATATCCAAGCTGCTGTTCCACCCCGTCAGCCCAGGGGAGGGGTGGCTATGGGAGAGCCCCACAGTCTCAGGGATTTATTGACTTTACTTTCCATTCGTATATGCAGAGGTTTCTGCCGGTACATCGAATGCGCCACCCTCAGTACTGATACATGTGGAACACCCGGCCAGCCCCATGGGTTAAATCCACCAGGACTGTGACACCTTTGCCCCTCACCTGCGATCTTTCTAACCTCTACTTTCAGAGGAAAAAGCGAGGCTCAGAGAGCCTCAAGAATCCCATAGCAGACTCTCTTGCCTCTGCCTGAAGCCCACCTCTTGTGGCTAGCATTGGCTTTTTGTAAACTCCTCAGCCTTTATGTTGCTTGGTCTGGACAGGGAATCAGAACTGGCTAAAACGTGACCTCTGGTTTCATGTGCCCAGCCTGTGTCTGGTCCGGTCCCCACATGGTGGACACCGGATGCCCGGCTGGGCGGAAGGCCGCTTGGGATGGGCACCCCCTGGAAGGGCTCGTCCTCCCTTGAGACTGAAGAAGAGCTTCTACACTGGACACTGCCTCACACAGGGCCTTTGGCTTCTTTCTGTGGGGCAGGGATAGGATGAGAAACGAAGACAGCCTGCAGCCAGGTCCAAGAGCTCGATGAGTAGGGCAGGGCATGGTGCCCACCTTGACCTCTCTGTGGCTTGCTTCTTTCTTCATTAGGAGACTTCAGCACATCAAAACATTTGATAAGGTGATTCTTTAATCTAGAGACAAAATGATGCCTATTTAATCCAATTTATCAGTAGAGACAGGTAGAAGGTGTTTGCATCTGACCATCAGCAATCCCCAAAGCTGTTCTAAAATGAGTATTTGATTTTGTGATGTGGAGAAGCCTATAAGTTTGTGTAAAAAAAGAGAAAGAGCACTTAGCAAAGAGTTGGGAGCCTCTGTTTCTAATGCTAGACTCATTTCTAATGATGCCACTTTGGGCAAATCATTCTATTTCTCTGGCTTCATTAGTGACCTCAGTGGGAGCAGTTTTAGTAGAAAAACTGACATCCTAATTGCCAAATCCATAGGCTAATTTTCATTCCTCATCCTCCTTGACAACTCCATCCATTTGGCACTCTTGGCTGCTCTTCCTTCTCAAAACTGTCTCTGCTCCCTGCCCCAGAGCCCAGCCTCTCGGATCCTCTCACTCCTTGCTGATGGTCCCCATTCTTCTCCAGCCCCTCCTGCTCCCCCATTCTGCCCCCCAGAATCCTCCTAGACTCCTCTTCTC